GAAAGGGATCATGTAGACAACTAGCTATTCATTTGAAAAGGGGCCCATGCTGTGGACCTTACGTCTAAAATACACATACACAAATTGTTTCCAACCCCAAGCATTAAAAAAGAGCCTATGTGTAACTTTTCCAATATAGTAACTGGTCAGATGAGGGGTTTTTTGGTGAATTTTAGAAGTCTTGTCACCTGTCTTTCATTGGTAACTGGTATTAAGTCAAACTACATTGTAAACCACGTGCGTAGTTATTTTTTCCGGAGCAAGGAAACTAAGACCACAATTCTTACCTAGTCACATCTCTAGGAGCTAGAGATAGCACAATACAGAATCACTGAACATCATGACTCAAAATTGTTCAGACAACAGCCAAAAGTGATGCAAAGGGAAACTGCACAGATACGGCAACTGCACCTGCTTTGGTATAAAAACTGCAGTGCATCTTCATCCTGATAACTCAGTCACAGCCTTACCCTTCAGAAAGAAGGTCTGAAAACACTTATACCTCAAATATCCTAATGTGCAAGAAGAAAGAAGAAAAATTACTTGCTCTGGAAGTCAACTTCCTAGACAGCAAAGACATCAAATTGACTGCTGACAGCTTATACGCTTATAATTTTTGGAAAGGGGACTACTTCTGGTTACACATAGCTTACAGCATTTTCAAAAATATAGTGCTGACCTTTAGCTGAGGGTGAAAAATATAAACAGCTGACCTTAGCTCGCACAGTGCTACAGCTGCTAGAACTGTAAGTACCGAAGCAGTTCACAAGATAAATCAAATATTCCCCCTGCCAATTTGTTGTAATTTGAGAGGCTAATCTCTTTATTCTTTTTGGCATCTGTTTGAAGACTCCTGCTGCCTGCCTAATCTTGGTATCTATTTTTGCTAGTTTTATAAAATGTTACATTTCTTCCTTTTGAATATAAACCCTAGGCTAGGCTGAAAGGTCAGAAGAGTTCTGTTCTACAGAAAGCCTCATAAGCATATCATTTTACTGGAGAATGAAGATTTTTTTAAAAAAGAGGTTATAGTCTAAATAAATGCTTCCTCTCCTGTCATCTTTCACATACATTATGAAGAAATTGTTCCCTCTGCACACTGACACTGCAATTTATTGTGTTTATTTTAAACTAAGCAAATCCTTTCCTTAATCTTCATTTTACTGAATAGCCTATCTCCATCCTTAAAATTACTTATGAATATACATCATTCACTTCAGTATTTTTAGTAAAAAGTAATAAAAATAGATCAACTTATTTCATTAATTTCCTTTATGTAATCTTTACTGCCATTTTTCTTCATTGACTTTATTCTTTCCCAAATTAACAATCAATCAAGTATGTACGTAAATTTGAAGTTCCTTGTTTTACAGTAAGTATTTTCATCTTGTTTAGTCAGAGAATTGATTTCTAGGGAAATGATCTGGAAGGCAAAGGAATGATTTCATGAGCAAAGCTGCATATGTGAATCCTCGAAAGGCAGGGTTCTGGTTGCCAGTCCAGCCTGAAAGCAAAACATTTCACTGCATGATGCTTATTTAATGGGTGGTAAAAAGAATTTTCACCTATTAGCTAGTTCAAGGGAGCAAGTGTGCAACCATGAAGTACAGCAGTTAGAAATCATACACTGAAATTTCAAACAACAATAATCTTCTCATCTTTTGAAATAGTTACTCTGACACTAGAAGGAGACAATGTAACCAGTACGCTGCCTTTGCCTGTGCCACACTTTACACCCAAGGAAGAAAAGACTTCCCTTTCCAAGGCCATAAACTGGCATCTTTTAGAAGCACTACCAGATGACTGACATGAAATTTTTTGGCTTGGAAAAATTATACTCCCAAATTTACATAAAATTTATAAAATCGTTATTGGTAAGAAAAATCTACATGAGATTTTTATGGCCTTCACTTTTTCAATTTCTTATTATGTGCTTCAGTTCCTACTAAATTGCTTCTCCCTTTGGGAACAAATTTGCAGTACCGAAGCATTTATCCCAAAGAGTCTATTAGTGTCTATAAAAGCTACTTGTCTTACCTTTCACATACAAAAAGGATACTGGCTGTAACAGGAATATTTTATGTAAGACATTCCAAGCCATTCACTGTTTGAGAATATGTTAATCTCATTAGAACTAAATAAAGTGCTGTTTAAAGGCATTTATATCTTCAAAGTAATAATTCTAGCTGAATTGAAATTTAGACCTCAAGGAAATTGTATGTAACATTCAAAAACATCAATTAACGTCTACAATAGCAATATTTGACTGCACCAGTGGCCCATGTAAATTAATACCCAGCCCCTCTCTCTGAGTAGTAAAATCTACATGTTTCAGAGAAGGGTGAAACAGTTCTATTCCCAATCTGGCTGCTTTACTGTCTTTTTAGTGGGGTAAAGCTTCAGAGTAAACTACTTTCTCTATAACCAATGATACTTGACCGCTATCAAATCAGCATTTTAACTCACAGAGATGCTTAATAAAAGTATCTGCATCTGCTTTAGCCTATCCCTAGTATCCCTCTTCACAGCCTCCTGTGGAAATTAATTTTCATGTATGCATTACACATCACAAGTTAGCTTTCTTAAACACATTGATCAGCTTTTACAATACCTTATCTTCAGCCCTTTAATTATAAAAATTAAAACTCCTTATTTTTACTAAATTTAATTTATATACTATTATCATATCTGTACCAGTCATTAAATACCGAAGTTAGTAGAAACAAACAAAAAACAGGCTTCAAGGTACAAGGAATTGCATACAGCAGTACAGATTAAAAGTTGCTGCTTTCAATTAAATTCTGTTCACATGACATACTTTAACAAGTAATCACTAATCTAACTCTTTTTCTTCTTTACCTTTCCTAAAAATTTCCAGTTGAATGTCTCACGATTCTCTGATCTTGAACAAAGACTCTAGAAACAACCTTAAAATACAGTGTCTGCTTTGGATTTCCAGTGTGTTACAGCCTATTGAAACATTAGTATGTTTAACATTTGCAGCTCTAAGGGCTTCTTTCCCTTCAAAAGTCCAATGCCTTTGAACAGTGTATATGCCACTGCTTGCATCGTAATTACGCTACTTGATTTATATAAATATATGTGTGTGTGTCTGTAACATATGTACAATACACAAACGCAAAAATACATGAATACCCTAAAAGAGCCAACTATTTTGAAAACTTAGTAAGGAGCACACCTTACTTCCTAAAATGACACAAAATACTTCGACAAGATAGAAGTAAATTGACTTCTGTGAAGTCATACTTTTTCAATTAATTTTTAGGATGTCGTTAACAGTTCAAAGAACTCAAATCTGCTAACACTGATTAAGACAATCTCCCATAGAAAAGGATGAAAAAGACTTTCGGCTTTCGGTGTCATTCAGTCATGATTTGGGGCATTTATAGGCATACTGTGACAAGCAGCAGTAATAAGTTAGGTAAGAAGGAAGACCACTAAGAGATTTTTTTACACAAAGAAGGAAACATCCAAATTCATAATGAAACTCTTAGGTCTAGGTATTTTTATTTTTTTAATTCATCTGTACAGATGAAATATCCTATCAAAGTGTAAGAAGCCAAATCTTGGCACCACTACTGTAAATGGGAAAATGCAACTTCACTTCATTGATGAAAGATCTAGAATACAGGCTAGAAGTTAATGTAGTTTAATACTCAAAGTGTAACTTCATGAAGATGCCTTGGCAGAAAGTGGTTAAAAAAAAAAATTAAACTTCCAAATGAGAGAGCGTAGAGCATTAACTGTGGACTCACCAAACAGGAATATTTGTACAAGAAATTTAAGATTTTTCTTAAAGTTAGCATTGGTACTACCATGCAATTTAAATAGGTACTTATTGCAGTTTGACTTCAATTATATTGATTTACACCAGCTTAGCTCCACTGACTTCACATATGTACATTTAAGTTCTGCTACTTTCAGAAAAGCAGAATTAGGTGCAATTTTAAATCCTTTCTCAAGAAAAATGGTCCTAAATATTCCCATATTCACAACATTTTCTTGTTAATCTATCCCCTAATTCTCCCAAACATCAGTCAAAAATTCTAAATTTTCAAAATAATTTTTTCCATCAGCATCTTCCCAGTGTCTTGGCACCTCCAGTAAATACCTTTTTATCTCTGACACTGCAGCAAACATACATCAGGATTCTATTTAACTCAGTCACTTTCTATTTTAACCTAGAAGGAGACTGACTGAAAAGTCACTTATGAACTTGAATTTTACTAGGAATTTAACTAGGATGCATTTATTGGGTATTCTAAAACTGAGTTCAGTGAACTGCCTATTACATGCCAATCCTTTCAAATGTTTAGCAATAACTTGGTAAAATCAAAGATGATTAATGAATATTTGGAAACATCTTATAGTCATTATGTTTTTGTTCTAGAATATATTTGTTGCAGTCTGTATATATAACAACATAGCTTCAAGATTGAACTTTCAGGTAATAATAGTTCTACATTTAGACTTAATTTTTGGGTCAGACCATCTGCAAAGCTATTGGACAATGACAGTGGAAATAAAAACGTATTTCAGATTGCGCACTGCCTGAATTTAACTCTGATAAACCATGGGAAATTTGAATGGATCTCTCACAAAAAAAGCTGGAGAAGTGAAAACATCTTTCAGGAGAAATATTTCATCAAGAAACTCACAAAAATATCAATGCAAGAGAGAGGTATAGAATCAGAAGCTACATGCATTTTTGTCTTCCTTTAACACCAGCTACCAGCTATTTTTAAGGTGTCATTTGTATTCTGTTAAGAGTGATATAAACTGGGGAATCACATTTATTTGTGGACAACCACAACTGATTCATATGAAAGTTATGAAAACCAGCATTTTTAGGTTAATACCCTTTTGCACTTGTACGCTTTAAAACATGCCACTATATAGAATTCTGCAAAGTATATACTTTGTATTTTTGTTTTCCCATAACTGCATGCACTTACGCTGTTAAGTGTTTATTCTGGTAGGCCTACTGTGACATGGAGACTGGTGGAGGAGGTTGGACCGTTATTCAGAGACGAGAAGATGGCAGCGTGGACTTTCACCGGACATGGAAAGAGTACAAGATGGTAAACAATGGTTTTTGAAGCCTTAGTATTAGTTATTATTATTTGAAATCTGATATAATAAAGTTATATTAATAGCATCCTTAGAAGGTAAGCAGGGAGAAGCTGTCTTTGTCCTTAGATGTTCATTTAGGAAATGCCAGAGTAGTATAAGGTGTTGGCCTAAGTTTGTTCTTTAATCAACTGTTCAACATGTCCACATTTTTTGAGTTATTTATTTTTGTGTTTCTAGTGGCAACAGTAGAAACTGCTCCAAATCTACTAATTAATATTGATTCACTATTTCAGAATTCTGAGTTTATCTTTGCTGAAAATAACTTTTTGAAATATATAACCCTCCAGACACAGTGAAATTCTTAGCTGACATATTGAAAACTATTAAACTTAAAAAATTGATAAAATGATTTTTTCGAACTCAAAGGAAAAACCAAAACTAAACTATTTAAATATACAACTTGAATTACAGGGATTTGGTGATCCTGCTGGGGAGTACTGGCTGGGAAATGAGTTTGTTTCTCAACTGACTAATCAGAAGCGTTATGTTCTTAAAATACACCTGAAAGACTGGGAAGGAAATGAGGCATATTCATTGTATGACCATTTCTCTCTAGCAAATGAAGAACTAAAATACAGGTAAGCAAGAAAATCAGATCTGAATAAAAAAAATCTGATAATAATCAGTCTAGACTGTGTAGATGCATGACCTTATTTCATACAAATTATTTTCTGAGTGAACTGAAAAAACATCATAATGTTTGCTCCATTTTTCACCTATTGCTTTAAACAGTCTTAATAATAAATTGTTTCCCAATGAAGACAATGTATATTTTACTAGTGCACACTGGATGAGTTTAACACACAAGATGCACAAAGATGAAGACATGGTATAGTGTGGTATGATCTAGGATACGCTTGCCAATATAGCAGATGGCAGAGCACAATATTCAAGGCAATAGGAACCTGTCTGCTGTTGCTATCAAGTCCTGATTCCAGACAATAAATACATTTCTGGAAGGCGGATGACTAAGATGAACAGTACTGCAAGGAGATTTTCCACTTCAGTCAGTGGCCAGTAGGAGCTGTTCTGTTGTCATGAAGAGAACACTGCGGTACTGCTACCTTCTCCTTCCATGATCCATTGGCTTGGATTCTCAAAGAATAATGCTTCTACCTGTGCAAATGAAGCTAATAGCAAATGTCCAGTCTCACTCTCTACAAACTTGTCAATTTAAACACCAGATTTTAATGGACCTATTACTGATGCTCCCATCATTCCATAAAATGTAAAGCTTACCAATGTCTTCTTACGTATTTGGGTAAAATAGGAAATGGCATACATTTAAAAGAAATACTTCATATATAAATAAATATTTTCATAGTAGTGTGCATTTTCAATAGTATCATAGTGTTATTCATTTTGAAATAGTATCAGTCACAGCTGAAATATATGGGCTGTTCATACGTCATTCTCCAGGCTCTCTGTAAATGCAGTTGATATTGTTTGATTGGTTACACAGAAACTAGAGACTCTACAGTATAACAGATGCTTTCCTACTAAATATTCCAGGAAATGTTTCTTTATAAGCATCTTACAGATTCATGGAGCTTAAGGTGACTGGACAGAAAAATTGCCTAAATTTAGATTAATCTCTCCAAGATTTCTAGCAACTATTTGTTGTAAACAAAGTCAGTCTGACACTCAAGAGAACTGATGCTGTTGCTTCAACTCAAGTCTTTTATGCAAAGCAATCCAAAACTATCCATCTCCTTCCCTCAAAATGTTAGGTCTTAATGCCTTAGTGGTATACAGTTGTCTCAACTCCAAAGCAAATATTTTTTCATCTGGAAACAGTCAGAATCTACAGCAGAGATTTTTTTAAAGTAATGCTTTAAAATACTTATAAAGGCAACCTTTGAAAAATGGGTCATTACCCTTGACAACTTACAATATTAAAAAATAATTACTGAAAACTAAGATGGTTGTCTGTAAATAGATACTTTATTTTAAAAAGCAACCAAACATGGAATGCATCATAGAACGCAGTAGATTAAAGAATATATTGAACATTATGAAAAAGAAAAAAACTAAGAAAGTATTCAATTAAGAGCAACTTTCATTACATAAAAACATTTATATGTTTTAGAACCTGAAAAGATTATGAGTTGGGTCATAAAAGTGAAATTTTACAGATTCATAGAAAAACTGAGATCAGAATGGACTTCATCTGAGTCAAATTTCCTGATCTGAAAGCTATGAGATCAGCCCAGGTTGCTCAGGGCTTTAACCAGTTGGGTTTTGATAAAGGTCTCCAAAGGTGGATACTACACAACTTGTTCCTATTTGTCTGCCCTCATGGTGAAAAAAGTTTTCCTGATATCCAGTCAGAACCTCTCATTTCAATTTACATCCACTGCCTCTCATCTTCTGTTATCCTAACAGAACAGTTAGTTATCCCAGCCTAGTCAGGGGAGGTTCAGGTTGGATGTTAGAAAGAATTTCTTCTCTGAAAGGGTTGTCAGCCACTGGAATAGGCTGCCCAGGGAGGTGGTTGAGTCCCCATCCCTGGATGTGTTTAAGAAAAGGGTGGATGAACTGCTTAGGGACATGGTTTAATGGGGGATTAGGGACAGTTGGACTGGATGATCTCTAAGGTCTTTTCCAACCCAGAAATTGTATGATTCTAAGCTGTACTTTCAGAAATTGAATAGTAATAATAATAAATAATACTCTGCTTACATTAGACTTCAGATGACATTTGAAAATCAAACCTAGGCACATACATTGTACTTGGAACCTTTAATACCATTTATGTTAGAAATTGGCTTACAGAATTTTGAACTCACCTTAAAAACCCAGAATGTTTAACTTTTTGAAAGAGATTTTTGAGAAAATCTATAATGAACTGATATTTCGAAATGTAAATGAGTAACAATTCATTCATTCTTAATATTGTCAAATAGGGACTATGAAATAGGTTAAAATAATCTGTTAAACTACCAAAGACAGCTTCTAGCATAAGCAGAGAATTAGATGCAAGATTAAGATGGAACTAGGGACAAAGTTAGTTCTCCTCAGAGTCAGATCTCCTCCTTAAAAAAATAGAATACCTCTGAGAAGGATGACCTATTTGATACAGAAACGCAGTCACCAGGGAGATACTGTGGGAACAGAGAGTTTAAGACCTTCCAATTCAACGTAACACAGTAATAGCAGTGTAATCGCCTCCCCAGTTCAGTGTCCTGTGTCTCGCCCCACTGAGATTGCATCTGTACCTGTGTAAGCAGATCCAAACAGTTGCAGCCTCACTGAAAGCTTACCTTGCCAGGGAACTGAAGCAAACAAATACCTGTTTTGTTTCATATCTTTATCAATTATCTGGATACGGGGATCGAGTGCCCTCAGTAAGTTTGCAGACGACACCAAGTTGAGTGGGAGTGATCTGCCTGAGGGTAGGAAGGCTCTACAGAGGGATCTGAAAGCCAATTGTATGAGGTTCAACAAGGCTCAGTGCTGGGTCTTGAACTTGGGTCACAACAACCCTATGCAACGCTACAGGCTTGGGGAAGAATGGTGGAAAGCTGCCTGGCAGAAAAGGACCTTGGCGTGTGGGTGGTCCACAGTTGGCTGAATAGGAGCCAGCAGTGTGCCCAGGTGGCCAAAAAAGCCAATAGCATCCTGGTTTATATCAGAAACAGCACAGCCAGCAGGACTAGGGACATGATTGTCCCCCTGTACTCAGCACTGGTGAGGCCACACCTTGAATCCTGTGTTCAGTTTTGGGCTCCTCACTACAAGAAAGACATTGAGGTGCTGAAGCGTGTCCAAAGAAGGGCAGCAAAGCTGGTGAAGGGTCTAGAGCACAAGTCTTATGAGGAGTGGCTGAGGGAACTGGTGTTGTTTAGCCTGGAGAAAAGGAGGCTGAGAGGGGACCTTATTTCTCTCTACAACTACCTGAAAGGAGGGGGTAAGTGGGTGTTGGTCTCTTCTCCCAAGTAACAAGCAACAGGACAAGAAGAACTGCCTCAAGTTGCACCAGAGGAGGTTTAGACTGGATAATAGGAAAAATTTCTTCACTGAAAGGGTTGTCAAGCATTGGAACAGGCTGCCCATAGAAGTGGTAGAGTCACCATCTCTAGAGGTATTCAAAAGACATTTAGATGTGGTGCTTACGGACATGGTTTAGTGGTGGTCTTGGAAGCGCTGGTTAACGGTTGGACTTGACGATCTTAAGGGTCTTTTCCAACCTAAATGATTCTATGATTTAACAGTAATAAATCTATGAAGGATATGAAAAGGAAGAGTAATTAGGAAAGGGAAATATTGAGAAACTTAATTGGCAATTAGTAGTCCAGGTAATGCTATTATCTCTCATAGATGCAAAGTTGTAATGTTACATTGCCATGTTGTGCTAACAGCAAAATAAGAATGAAAAGAGTTTTGGTTGAAGCTTTTGAACTTGGTTAAAAAAAAATAATTGCACACAGTGTACTTACAGTATTAAGAAGTGCATGATACATATGAAAAATTCCAGGAGTTATTAACTATCTGCTCTCATTTTCTTCTAATATGACACAAAAAAAACAGTAATCTCTACATATGTGGAGGCTGTCAATTAGAATATTGTGCTGACCATTTCCGCTCATGTAAAAACGTTATGCTACAAAACAGCTTACAACAGTACACGGGTCAGAAGAGAACTGAACTATTTGAACAGGATATTTATTGCAAACTATTCCATCATTATCTTGCAGATCAACTGCTGTTAACTTCCATGTAATAACTGTTTTTCCATTCCTCACTCCTACAGGATCTACCTTAAAGGGCTTACTGGGACAGCAGGCAAAATAAGTAGTATAAGCCAACCAGGAAATGATTTTAGCACAAAGGATGCAGACAATGACAAATGTATTTGCAAATGTTCACAAATGCTAACAGGAGGTAGGAATGTTTTTTTGTTTCTCAGTCTTCCTATTTTTATTGGCACTGAAATTGTCTGAGATAAATAGTGATAATTTTGACAGTAAATTTTGATGAAGAAGTCCAAAACTCACAGATAGAAACGCTAGTGCAGTGACTCCAAATTAAGTATTTTATCATTGGAAAAGGTTAGTTAAAGTAAAACAAGAGAAATTAAAACTGGAGAAGAAACTCCAGTCTCTCAAGTTGGGGTACAGGGAAGTCTGTAATTGTGGTACTAACCAGAGCAACAGTAGATTCTTCCAAGAAATGAGATAACATAGTTGCAGAGATCAAAACACGCCTAAAAAACCCTTGTTTTAAAGATTCAGTTGGCCAGTGAAAGGGCTCTGGATTCTTTAGGCACAAACCTGTTCCCTAACTGTCCAGAGTAGAAGAAAGCCCCAAAAGCTGCTGTATACTGTACATGCCGCAGAAGGGTACAAATATTTAATTCCATATTTCAATATAATTATGAAATAGCAATACATAAATTTAAGATACACCACATACATGAGGTATCTACATTTTTCTAATGATCATTCACTAGTTATTGGAGTTTTAGGTGCTATTTTTATCTTGAACCACACAAGGCATTCTATAATTTGTGAATCTAGAATTCCACGTTTTGAAATGTAAACAACTGCTTTGTAAATTTGACTTCTCTTTGTGTTATCTCTTAAGCAATGGTTTGTTTCCCTATAGCACAAGTTGCAAGACAAAAGACAACTTCAGTTTATCCAAAAGGATAATTGGATTACTGCCCTGCAAAACAGAACACACACATTATCGCCATCATAGCAGAAGTACAAAAATATTATCCCATTAATAAAAACAAATTTTCCTTATGACCCACTAATGGGTCAAGACCACAAGGATAGAAAATAAGTTTGGGCTGCTTTTTTCTCCTTTTCCTTCTTACCAAGTTTCAGCACAGAGATTTTGAACTAAGCTGCACAGAGAACAGAAACAGATAACTGAATTAATGCTTAATTAAGAAAGAAGTTTAAATCTATAAAGAACAGGAATTTACCAAAGGGCAGATAAGACCAAAGAAGACTCAATATCATTATAGTTCAAATCAAGTTCTGCCCTGAGACTGTCAACAATAATGTTTGATATTGATAATAAATTAAGCTTGACTGAAGGTCTTCCCTTCTCAATTTTAAACTAGTATGTATTACATAAGCTTCAAGAATATGTAGTGAATACTTAAACACAATTAGTTTGAGGGACATACTATATACTGACAATTCCAAGTTGTAAGAAGGAAAACCTGGTTTTAGGTTTCTCTTTCATTTCAGGACAACAGTGTATCCTTATATACTATTACGAAAATTACCTGTGCTGACATTTTCATCTGCTGATGTTTTTGTTTGTTTTCTGCCTTGCAGGATGGTGGTTTGATGCATGTGGTCCTTCTAACCTCAATGGAATGTATTATCCATTACGACAGAACAACAACAAGTTCAACGGTATCAAGTGGTACTACTGGAAAGGCTCCGGATACTCTCTCAAAGCCACGACTATGATGATTCGACCAGCAGATTTCTAAATGCTTTTGCATTATGTGAATTATGTATTGTATAGTCTTCAAAGACTTCATTTGCTGAGCATATAAACACACATCTGCAACTTGTCTCGTTTTCAAGCCCAGAAAACATGTGCTAGTGTTCTGAAGGGATCAGTTCAGTACAATTCCCGAATTGCAATAGCCTTGATCAGCTAAAGCTCATATTATTCAACCAGACACAAAGTCTAAAGCTTCAACCTGGTATAACAGTCATTTGGCCAAACTGAATTGAATAAAAAGAACATCCAAGAAACTGTCAGACAACTTAAGGACTCTGTTTTACTGATCGTTTATGTTATGTATGTGTTAGTAAATAACTGGAACTGTGAAAAATACCTAAAATAGTTTTAGAAATATGCATTTTGCCTCATCACTGAACTTTAAACATTAGTCTAACATAAAACACTTAACTAGATCTAGAACTATTTATCTCTGTGTCATGTTTGCCTTTTATGTACATAAAAAAATACCGTCCTGTAATTAGCTCAATACTGTAGTTAAAGAATACATTCTTTCCTCCCATAGTCTCCTAAACAACTTCTTACAATTATTCAGGGATTTTTTCCAATAGCCTGTATTACTTTATTTAACAGAGGACAAATAGCATTTAAGTACTTTGCATTTATTCTTGGGAAATACTGTGTACAAATCACCATTTCTTTCAGTTCGTACTTACTACAGTCACTATCTTTAAGTTACAAAAATCCCTGCAAGTTACAATATAGTATGTGTTTCTTTATATTTTTATGAAGATTGCACTTTTTTCTTTCCTTGTCATTTACCTGTAAAATAAATGATCAATATTTGATAAACCGAGACAACGGCATTAACACCAAATGTCCAGTTGTCTATGACAATTAGTTATCACCTGGTGCTGTAGTACATCTATACGTTCTGTAAAAAATAACCTAACTGAAAAACGTATGCATGTTCTTTGATACAATTAAATTTATGCTCATAAGTTGATACAAATTACTACGTTTTAAAAACATGAAAAAAAAATCTGTAAGTTATCAAAAGTCATACTTTTGGGTTTTTTTTCAGTAAGGTTAGGACTTCTCCCTAGAAATTCTCTGTAGGTAGGCCCTCAATGTATGACACAACGTGAATAAATTACTCTACTGGGTGATTTTTGCTTTTAATTTTTTTTTTTATTACTATATGATTTGAAATTGTGTACTGTACACTGCAGTTCAGATTGAGAAGATATTTTTTCATAAATCACATGAAATAATTTTGTGCAGATTTTTCTCCAAATTAAGTTTTAATTTTCATGCTTAGTCTTTGTCTTAAGGTAATAATTTTGTAAATTTTTAATTTCAGCAGATGACTGAATTAGGTACAAGACAAGAACATATCTCATGCGAAAACAAAACCAAAACCCCAGACACAACATTTCTGGACAGGCTTACTTAACAAAAAGTATTGTATCTTAAAACAGTAACTGATTTTGACAAAGATGGAAGAAAACTCTTGGTTTCCTACTGAGTACCCCACCATTCACACCACTACCATTCTTCCCTGAAAATGTGTCAGCATCACTAAAGAGTAGCAGAGACAAAAAATACTTCTATTACTTCATGATGAATGTAAATTAACAGTCATCATTTGAAGAGTTGCATAAAATAATCTGACTGTATTAAAGATTACTGTTTAAGTATAGCAAACTTGTAAAGATAAACCTATCCTAAACCGAAAAAATACTTCAAAAAATTGCCTTCATGAATTTCTAAGAACTATCTTAAAGTACAAGTCTATCAGAGGGCCACCAAGCTAGTAAAGGGGCTATACATGCCATGAAGCACACGGCATGCCATGAAGCACACGGCATGCCATGAGAGGCCAAGAGCGCTGACCTTTTTCAGTCTGGAGAAGAGAAGGGGAAGGGCAGACCTTACTGCTGTCTACAACCACCTGATCAAGGACACAAAGACAGAGCCAGACCCTTCTTGGAGGTGCACTGCAATGAGACACAAGACAGGGACAAGAGGCAACAAACAAAAGCTGGGATTGGAGAAATTCGATTTTCTTTTTAACTTATTTACTACCATGAGGGTGGACTGGAACAAGTTCCTTGGAGCAGAATGTTGAACTAGACAATCTTCAGAAGTCCCTTCTAATCTAAAATATTTATGATTCTATGAAACTTAATAGAAATGTTGAGTCTAGATTACTGTACTGCTTCACTGCATTTAATCAGACAACTAAAGAAAATACTCCCAATATTTGAGATAGTAAGCATATCCAGTCCAATAATCAAAAAAAAAAAAAAAAAGCTTCTTAACCATGATAGGATCTGGCACAGTTTGAATGCTCAATCTGATAAAGGAAAATAGCGCTAACTTCTGGTTGGCATTAATCTTCATTATTTCAGTAAGAAAACACTGTTTAATTAAATTAAATGCAAAATTAAATATTGTATGGCTAGTTTCAATTTGCTGAAAAAGTCTTTATAAAGCTTAATGCTTTTTGATGACTATTCTGGAAAAGTGATCAAAGATATTGATGTACACATTGAACAGAGCAATTGTTTAATGAGACTTTCATTTTTTGAGAAACGAATAATTTATCAACATGAATGGAAAATTTTAGAGTGAATAACTTTTTAAATTACATTTTATCTAAATGAGATTGCATGGATAAAACTGCAAACACCAAAGGGAAGTGAGAGGAGGACATTTTGGAAGGAATGCAATAATAGGAAAAAGAAGGCTGTAACAATTGTTTTGGACTTGGTACAAACAATTAAAACTTAACAGCAAGATGACCCCTTCTTTTAATTCCTTCCTCTAATCAAATAAACAGGATATAAAACTAGAATGCACTTCCATTTTCTCTAAATACTTCTTAGGAAGAAGAAAAGAAATAACAACAAAAGGAATATAAACAGCATTCATGCTCAAATGATATTGTATCTTTAAAAAGAAGATATCTGTTACAGTAAGAAACCAGAATGACTCAAGAAGGGAATGACTGGAAAGGTGATGGAAATAACACCTTGGACACTGACTTTGCTCCTCTGCAAGAGGAGCACACTGCAAATAGAAGCAATTCAGGTTCTCAGTACAACCATAACCTCCCCCAATTTTATCTTCTCACCATTTCTCAAGCCCTCCTTACTTTGCTTTAGGAATAAAAACTGTAAACAGAATATAAAAAGCATTTTTTTTAATCACTTCCAAAGAATGCTATGTAAGTTGTTAACTGATAGCATACTTGGTTATTAAGCAAGGTAGTCTGAGAAGAAACAGAAAACTCAAGACAGCTTAATCTTAAGTTCTTCGTTGTGTGGTTTTTTTCATATAAATATAGAAAAGGAGGAAAAAAAGAACATGCTTCTTATTTATTTTTCATATTAAGTTTTACCATTCATCATGTATTTGCTATATAAAAAAATCTACTTATTCCTTTTAGAAAAAATACTGCATTATAATAGATGATTAATTTCTTTGGG